ATTCCTAGCCCCCGACCTGCTGGGGGGTGCCCACCACATGCTGGGGGGGGGGGGGGGGGCGTGACCGTGAGTAGAAGGGGGCGCCCCCCTCCCTGGAAGCGATGTGCGCCTGCTCCGACCCCGACCCGGCCGCTGGGACGCCCTGTACGGAACTTCTCGACCTTGGTCCTTGCAATCCTTCCATCGCGCATCGCCATCGCGCATCGGTGGTGGAGTGTGAGACGACGGGTCGACTTTTACCATTTACGGCGGGATCCTCTCTCCGCTCAAATTACAACGATCGACACCTCCAACAGCCTCACCACCACGCTCGCCGGCTCTGCCTCTGGGACGCCCGCCTTCGCCGACGGCACGGGCACCGCCGCGAGCTTCAACCGCCCGTCCGGCGTGGCGGTGTCGCCCGACGGCGGGACGCTCTACGTGGCGGATCCCCGCCGCATTCGTCAGGTGACAACATGATTGCCACCCACGCTTTCGTTTGCTCCTAGTGGAGCGAGGATGCGCAGATCGACTGCCTCTCCAACTTGAGGTGCCTTGAACACACGCTCCGCTGCCGTCGCCCCTCTTGTGTCGCCCCTCCCGTGTTGCGTTGCGGCCTGGCCCGTGCCCGCCGCCACCGTGTCCCGCTTCTTAGCGCGGAGATTTTGAGACGCTCGCGTCAGGGTGAGACGCGAAGACGGCCGAAGACCAATGGTGAAAAGTGTCGTGATTGCTGCGCGGGTCCAGGGGGGGATATGCGTTATGATATGGATTAGGGGTCGGGAGGGGAGATTTGGGGTCGGCCAGAATAGCCCGTGACCCGTGTGGGCGTGTGGCCGTGTGCACGCTTTTTTGCTCTCCACGGATCCTCTTACATTCGAACACACGGGCAGCGCCACGACTCACAAAAATAACGGCCAACCGGACGTGCGATCTCGCAAAATCTCGAGTTTTCTCGACAGCGCCCGCGGGAGCCATAACCACCCGGCAAGGGCCTACACAGAGCCTTGCCCTGCAGAGCTACCGCTGTCTACCCACCCAGCATGCGGGGGTGTGTACTGGGGCGGCAGCACCTGGCCACTCACGGCCCACTACCGGCCGCTACTGCGGCGCTAGACCTCCCGGCGCCGGATCTCGGTATCCAGCAGAGCTACGCCTCGACGGACGACAAATGCAAAAAATAGCTCTGTCTGTCTGTGGCTGTTCCGTCCGCTTTCTCTCTCTGCTCTCTCGCTCGCTCTCTCTCTCCCTCCACCTCCCTCCCTCCCTTCCTC